TATTTATGAGTATGTGTATTTGTGTGTGTCTGTCTGTGTGTGTGTATTTATAGTGTGTGGGGGTGGAGGTTTGTAGGCAGCTGCTAAACTCTCCTCAGAACACACACACACACACACTCTCTCTCTCTCTCTCAAACACACACACACTCACACACACACACACACACACACACACACAAGCACACCAGTACTCGATCTGTGCCAGATGTAATTATGAATGAATTCACTCTGTGTCTCAGGTGCAGATGTCTCATAACAGACCTCGTGGATCCAGATCAGATCCTCAGGATCAGACGATGGAGTATCTCACACAGCAGGTCCTGTTCCTGAAGGAGAAAGCCAGTGAGACACTCTCTCTCTCTCTCTCTCTCTCTCACACACACACACACACACACACACACACACACACACACACACATGTTGTGTATTCATCACGTTATGGGGACATTCCATAGGCGTAATGGTTTTTATACTGTACAAACTGTATGTGCTACTGCCCTACACCAACCCTACCCCTAAACCTACCCCTCACAGGAAACTTTGTGCTATTTTACTTTCTCAAAAAAACTCATTCTGTATGATTTATAAGCTTGTTTCCTCATGGGGACCTCAAAAATGTCCCCACAAGGTCAAAATTTACTGGTATTACTATACTTGTGGGGACATTTGGTCCCCATAACGTGATGAATACCAGGTGCACACATACACACACACACACACACACACACACACACACACACTAATTAAAGTTTCCTAAGAGTCAAGAAGATTTTTCTAAGCATTTTTACTCACCGTTCAGATTAATGCACGACTCAGGCTCAAATAAAATTATACAATTATTATAAAATTATTAACTGAGTAATCCACGTACAAAGAAAGGGCCCCGGGTCTATGCTTTTTGTTTTGTTTGTCATTTTATATTGTTTATTTATCTTGTTGATTTCCTTTCGTTTGTTTTCCATGTTTGTTTTAATTTTTTATCCTGCATTTGTTTGTTTGATTGTTTCTGTTTGTTTTTCTTGTGTTTGTTGTTTGTTCATTTGTTTTTAAGATCTTGCATTATTTTGTTTGAATGCTTGTGTTTGTTTATTTATCTTGTTGATCTTCTTGTTCATAGTATTTGTTTTGTTATCTTATGTTTGTTTTATTTTCGTTGCTCTTGCATTTCTTTACCTGTTTGGTTTTCCTGTTTTTGTTAATTTGTTTGTTTTTCTTGCATTTGTTATTTGTTATGTTGATTTGTTTGTGCTGATCTTGCATTGTTTCTGTGATTGATTGTGTAGTGCTGCAGGCGTCTGTGAGGGAAGAGAAGAAACTGCTGGTTGAAAATGCCAAAATAAAGAAAGACATCGATGATCTGAAGAAGCTATTGCATGAAACACAGAAGAGGAAAGCAGGTACTTTAAACACACTCAAATGCATGAGAAAAGCAACGTGCAATCCTTCACACAGAAAACATGTGTAGGCCCTGTGAGATACAGATATGCAGCAGCACATACACTTGTGTGTGTGTTTCAGGAAAGCTGCATCAGGAGAGAGTTCTGGCGGCAGCGATCGCATCTAAAACCGCTCTGCTGGGGGAAAGGGCCCCTCTGCCACAAACGGCCCCAGACACGGGGTCAGAGACGAGCGCCACACACACCCGACATGACGGGAGACGCAGGAGAGAGAGGAGAGGTGAGCCGGAGGAGTCCAGCATCAATACTCAACAAAAACAAGAGCATGCATGCATCATTTTATTTGAAATCATTACTGCTGAGCTTTCAAGAAATCACAGTTTAGGCCCAAAGTACTCGGATGTGTTCCTGTAGCTCAAAGATCATGGCGCTCACAACACCAAGGTCATGGGTTCGATTCCCAGGGAATGCATGAACTGATCTAATAAATATCAAATGTATATCTTGAATCCAATGCAAGTTGCTTTGGATAAAAGCGTCTTCCAAATGCATAAATCAATTGTGTAAATATGCTATGTACACAGTGTATACAGTATTTTCTGTATATTATATATATATTATCGTTTTCACATTTTATTTATAATGTAATATAATATAATATAATGAACAGGGAATGAAAAATGTGATTTTCTCTTTGTAAATAAAAAAAAAGTTTATATACACACACACGCACACACGCACACGCGCACACACACACACACTCACACACACACACACACACACACACACACACACTCTCTCACACACACGCACGCACGCACGCACACACACACACGCACACAGTATATAGTATACTACATAAAGAATATATTAATATATATACAGTATATATATATAGTATTTTCTGTATATTTTATATATATATTATGTTTTCACATTTTATTTATAATATAATATAATGTGAAATTGGGGAATAGCTGTGACAGAGAATGAAAAATGTGATTTTCTGTTTGTAAAAAAAAAAAAAAAGATAATAAACAACTATAACTCAAAATTAATATAAAATCCTTTTGTACTTATTTAGGAAAGGCGTATATTTCAGTCATATATATGAAATACATTTATTAATTCATGAAAGGTGTAATTTTCAGTTATAAATATGAAATATTTTTGTATTAATTTACACAAATAGTAATTTTCAGTTACGTATATGATATTAAATAATAAAAAGAATAATTTTCAGTTCCGTATTAAACTTTTGTATCAATTTATGAAAGGCATAATTTTCAGTCATGTATAAAACACCGTTTTATCAATTTATGAAAGATTTTCATTTACGTATAAAATACTTTCATATTAATTTCAGTTATGCATAAGTATGGGTAAGTTTTAAGTTTTGTTTTTGTATCTTATATAGATTAAATTTAGCAATGGATGTGACGCTTATTATGCAAGAAGTGTTTCAAAATAAGCTAAAGGACTTTTATCGTTTAATATGTAAAATGGAGTATATTTATTATGAAATTGTGTCTGAAATACAGTCTTGATGGTGATAAATGAGGGTTGTGCTCACAGGCTTGTATTTGCTAACCCTGAAGCGCCACATTACAGTAAGTTTGGCATTATATGGTTATAATTTGAATGTGAATCTGAGTAAACTGTGGTAGTATTATTCATGAATCATTTGTATTCAGAGATCAGCGTGTCGGCTCACGAGAGTCGTGTTTGTGTCTCAGGTTTGGATGCTGCGTGTCTGAACGGTTCTGATTCTGCGTGCGCTCTGATGCGAGAGCAAAGACCCGACGTGTCCCGTCTGGACCTGCGGGTCGGCCGGATCCTGGACGTCCGGAAACATCCAGATTCAGCATCACTGCACATCCAGGAGGTGGAGTTAGGAGACCCCGCCCCCAGAACCGTGGTCAGCGGACTAACCAATCACATGCCTCCAGAACAGGTTAGACACACCCCTCCATCTCATTAACAAACCTTTCAAAAACTGATTAGAAGAACTTGTAAATCTTGTAGATCTTTTTTTTTTTTATCTCCAATATACTCAAAACCTACTAAATGAATAAATACATTTCTGATATAGTGAATATAAACAGCTGCTTGCTACATAACAAAAATGTAAAGGTGCATAAATCCCATGCAGAAAAAAAATACTATCTTTTATTATTAGACAAAATAAATTGTAAGCATATTGTAAATGTAGTTGAAATAAATATATTTTCCAAATAAACCCTTTAACTTAAGTATTAAGACAGTCGGAACTGCTGAAAAGCAAATATTTTCTATTCTTGATTATTTATATTATATATATATATATATATTGGACAGTATTTGTCAAAAAATATACACAACCACATAAAAGGTTAGAGTATACATATTTATGATTATTAATATTTTTTAAAGAAGTCTCTTCTGCTCAGCAAGGCTGCATTTATTTGATCAAAAATACTGTAAAAATAGAGAAATATTATTCTAATTTAAAACAGCTGTTTTCTATGTGAATATCTGTTAAACTGTAATTTATTTCTGTGATGCGCAGCTGTATTTTCAGCATCATTACTCCAGTCTTCAGTGTCACATGATCTTCAGAAATCAGTATAATATGCTGATTTATTATCAATGTTGGAAACAGTTCACATGTTTGTGGAAACTGTGATGCATTTTATTTTTCAGGATTCACAGATGAATAGAAGGTTCAAAAGAGCAGCATTTATTTGAAAATTAAATCTTTTGTCACGTTATAAATGTCTTTACTGGCATTTCGGATCAATTTAATGCATCCTTGATGAATAAGAGTGTTAGTTTCTTTTATATATGACTTTAGCCCTCAACTCAGTATGATTGTATGATAATGTGTGTGCAGCTGGTGGGGTGTCTGGTGGTGTTGTTGTGTAACGTGAAGCCAGTCAAGGTCCGAGGCGTTCAATCGCAAGCCCGCCTCCTCTGCGCTGTCAATCAAGAGAGAATGGAACCCTTAACTCCGCCCACTGCCGCTCAGCCCGGCGACAGAGTCACTTTTCAGAGTTACCCCGGTAAGAGGCGCTCGCCAGAACATCTGACTCATTTCCGCTTCATCGACTTGTAACGGATTGTGTCTGATGTGGCAGGTGAACCCGAGAAAGAGCTGAATCCCAAACAGCGGATCTGGGAGCGTTTACAGCCCGACCTGTGCACAGATGCGAAGGGCGTGGCCACATATAAGGGTGTGGCCTTTGAGGTCCGTGGGAAGGGCCTCTGTCGGGCCCCGAGTGTCAGCAACGGCGGGATCAAATAACAGACAAGCTTCATTTATGTGTGACATCAAAATCTCACAAATAAATTATTAAAAACTACCAAAGGCCTCGATGCTCTGCATAAACAAAGCACCAAAAATCCAAACGGGAATATTAGTCAGAAAGAGCTGAGACTCAAGATTCAGACATACTGCAGAAACCAAAGCATTTCAAGACTTGACCACATAATAATAGAGTTGAAGCAGGTTTGAGCAGCTTGTTGCACCCCCTACTGACCAACAGCAGATAAAACACTCAGAAACATGAGAGACATTATTCATAACTTATACATAACATGTCTGCATCAGCAAACTAAAGTGGATTTACGAGTCGACCGATAATTAAACATTGTGGACACATAGTACCAATGATCAAGATCGCATAGAATATTCAATAGAATTAACTCAATTTATACTCATATTTTTTATGTTTGCATTATTTATACATTATATATATAATATTAGAATATATCATTAATATCATAAATAAAACATAATATTGAATACAAAATAATATGCATATAACAAATAAATACAATGAATATATATATATATATATATGATTATGGAAATGTATTTGCATTTTCATGAGTACAAGAAAACATGTAATATAGAGAGGTTTTAGATTATATATTATTGTATATCATATAATTAATATAACATAATATGTAATATATAATGAATTAAAACATGTTTATGGAAATTTATTTGCATTCATGAATACAAGAAAATCAATATAGAGAGGTTGTAGATGTTTTTATTGTACATAATATAATATAGAATTTGTATGATAAATGAATACAACAGAATATTAATATTTATTAAATAATATATACTAATATAACATACAATTAATATGTATGATGTTTATGGAAATTTACTTGCATTTCAAGAAAACAGAGAGGATGACTTATGGTAAACGGTAAACCATAATCAAATTAATATTCAAATACGTTGAATATTGTAAAAGCTGATCGCTTTTATAAGTTTAGGGTTCAGTTTTTGCATTTCTGTAGAAACACGTGTTTGATGTGCTCTGACTCAACGCTTCCCGGAGTGGGCGTGTCTCTGAGCGCAGGTGGGCGTGGCCGCAGGTGTGGGCGGAGACTAAAGCCCCTTCTTCTCCCAAGCACATCGTTTAGTCTTTCTTCCGGAGCATGCACTCTGTTAAACAGGTAAATCGCCTGCTTTACATCTCTCTCTTTTTTTTTTTTATTTATACTCATGCATGTAATTTGACAAATCAACGGTGTTTTACTCACACGGTGTGAAGATTTGAACTTTTAGCAGGTAAATAAACCGTTTCTTTCTCTTTTGCGTATGAACTGACTTTATTGTAGCTAAGCGTATGAGTTGTAAACATGATAAAAAAATTGATAATGACTGTAAAGAAGGTTCTTGAGAGATCCGGTCTGATGCGGTCGAGATTCGTTTCTACAAAGAAAGTTGCAGAGACTAGTGAGCTTCCTACCTAGAAAGCATTTCGGGCAGATCAGGAGCGTTTTTGATGTCTAATACGTTCTCGGTGATTGTGTTTATTTCGGGATCTCGAGATGGGTTTTACCGGCAGCCGCGCGCTGATCGATAATTATTCCATTATGATCCGGATGGTTCTGGATGTTTTTTGGGGCTCCGATGCTGCTGCTGAAGGTCTGGAGGGCGCACACAGGTGAGAGGTCGATGACCTCCGCGGCAGCTGAGCTCAGCAATGCTGTCAGATCAGATTCACTGTCAAACATTTACACACAGTGAGTCAAACATCATGTGACTTTCACAAGACCGCACTAATATAATGTATCATACCTAAAACATCCGGTTTTTTCCTGGTTATGCGATTCCATTTCGTCATTTGCAAACTTTTGAATGTTCTCAAAAACAAAAGGTAACATTTAAAATATGTTAGACGACCCTGATAGCACACGTCCATCACAGAGACGTCTATTTGACGTCTGCAAGACGTATTTTTTAGAACGTTTGTTCATCTGCTATAGGTCTATAGGACGTTTCCTATCAGATGTCAAATAGACGTTTAGAAGATGTCCATAAGATGTTTATGATTTAAAACTGACATCTTAAAGACGTCTATCAGATGTTTGCACACAGCAGATGCTTTCCAGATGATCTTTAACAGACGTCTTGCAGACGTACCTCTGCTATCTGGGAAGAGTAACTTTGAAAGAACCTTGCCAGACCCTTTTGAGAGCGTTCCCTGTAATATGATAGTTTTTGTACATGCACCATGGTAAAACTGTGGTATTCATTGAAGTACCTCGGTATATGCATATGGTAATCATTCAGTACTGTGGTATTTACCATCTAATACCACCATTCAGTAGACAAATACTGGATGTGCCTTGCCAGATAGCACAGGTACGTCTGCAAGACGTCTGTTAAAGATCTCTTCATCTGGAAAGCATCTGCTGTGTGCAAACATCTGATAGACGTCTCTAAGATGTCAGTTTTACATCATAAACATCTTAAAGACATCTTCTAAACGTCTATTAGACATCTGATAGGAAACGTCCTATAGACGTATTGCAGATGAACAAACACTCTAAAAAAATGCAGTCTTGCAGATGTAATGCAGACGTCAAATAGACGTCTCCGTGATGTACGAGTGCTATCAGGGATATATACATACAAATAAATAAATATATAGGAAATCATTTTGCCAGTCCAGTCGGGGGAGAATCAGCATTTCACATGAGAACGGCACAAACCGGTCTGACGGCTGTAGGGTCAGCAGAGATGTGAAAGAGCGAGGTGAACATGTCTGTGTGTCACAGGTTTCAGGGTGTGTCAAACACACACATTCACACTGAAACGCCCGTTCTGGTGTGGCGTGAACTAAACAAACACACACACACACATTCACGCTAAACTGCCTAAACGTTTGTGGCCTGAAGTTAATAAACACACCCACCTATAGATGCATGTACATGCATGTGTTTATGCGTTTGTTCACACATGCAAAGAGAGATTGCACGCATGCAACAATCTGCAGTTTCAAAATTATCAAACTTGGCTGTTCAGTATGATACAGTGATGCAATGAAGAAAAAAAACGCATGTCAGCAAGTGTTTGATTTATGCATTGATAATCTTGCTTTTGATCTTTTATTCACTGTTGCATTTTATAAACAAACCTCCAGAAGGTTCATTTATAGCAGTAAGAAAATTAATTAACCAGTGGTTTATTTATGTATTGTGTTATTATTTTAGTAAGTTTTGTTGTTCTGTATAATTATTTGTTGAGAGGCAAAGGATTTATCATCTTCAGTGCTTTAACTATATGCCTTGTTTGTTTGTAAATTTTTTTTATGCATTCAATTAAAAACATATTTACCAACACTCATTTTTTTGTCTACTGACATTTTTGCTAAAAATTTGATTGAGAATTCCAAATAACAGTGTTTATTTGAGACAGTACTCGAATCATTCACTGAGTTAAACATGCAACATAAATTGCGATCATGTGACAATAGTTTTAAATGTTTATATATTGTATATTTAATATTAAATATTGTGTTAAATTTTGTGTTAGTTGTAGTGTATGAGCGATGGAAGCATCTCATCTTCTGGACGAACGAGAAGATGACGGACCCAACGGTGGCTACCATGTGATGGTGACGATAGATGACAGACCACGCCCACAGACCACGCCCACCGGACGGCCACACCCATCTCCGGTCACACCCAGTGGCGGTCAGGTTGACGACAAGCCAGACGACAGCCAGCCGACACGTTTGGCGAGGGCCTTGCGGAAAAACCAGGACTACATCCGCATCCCCGTCCCGAGGTCCAGCGGCTCCCGGCTGCCGTCGGAATGGTGGAAGACGGGAATCGCCTTCATCTGGGCCGGATTTAACCTCGTCCTTACAACCGTCATGATCACCGTCGTCCACGAGAGAGTCCCGGATATGCCCGTGCGCCCGCCGTTACCGGACAAGTTTTTCGATTATGTGCCGCGTGTGGAGTGGGCGTTTTCCGTCACCGAGGTGAACGGGATGATCCTGGTGGCTCTGTGGTTCATCCAGTGGCTCTTCCTCAAGCACAGGTGAGCATTTAGTGAGAGTCCAACCCTGATAGCACACATCCATCACAGAGACGTCTATTTGACGTCTGCATTACATCTGCAAGACGTATTTTTTAGAGTGTTTGCTCATCTACAATACGTCTATAGGACGTTTCCTATCAGATGTCAAATAGACGTTTAGAAGACGTCTTTAAGATAGAATGAATGTAAAACTGACATCTTAGAGACGTCTATCAGATGTTTGATGCTTTCCAGATGAAGAGATCTTTAACAGACGTCTTGCAGACGTACCTGTGCTATCTGGGAACTAGGGCTGCATGATTAACCGAAATAAAACTTAAATCGTGATATGGCTTAGTGCAATTATCAACTTAATTAAAGGAGTAGTTCACTTCCAGAATGAAAATTCTGTCATCATTTACTCACCCTCCACTTGTTCCAAACCTGTATGGGTTTTTGTCTTCAGTTGAACACAAAAGAAGATATTTTGAAAAATGTTGGTATCCGAACAGTTGATGAGCACCATTGACTTCCATAGTATTTTTTTTTCCTACTCAGATGTTCAGATACTAACATTTCAGTGCGTCATTGTGTTCATTTACACTTGAGCAGCTCATGATCCAGTGCTTTTAGTATCTCGGTTCACAGTAAATGCTGCTTTGCATAAACTCAACCTGCATCTGAGTCTGAACGTGCATTTAGAAACGCAACATCTTCACGAACTTGTAATGAGAAGCACTTATAAACCGGATGTTGTCAACAAAAGAGAGGCTTTATTATTAATATTATATAGGAATGTTATGGCAATTTAAAATAACTGTCTTCTGTGTGAATATGTAATTTATTCCTTGGATGCAAAGCTGAATTTTCAGCATCATTACCACAAAAATATTGTGCAGCACAACTGTTTTCAACATTGATAATAATCAGAAATGTTTCTTGAACAGCAAATCAGCATATTAGAATGATTTCTGAAGATCATGTGACACTGAAGACTGGAGTAATGATGCTGAAAATACAGCTGCGCATCACAGAAATAAATTACAGTTTAATAGATATTCACATAGAAAACAGTTATTTTAAACTAATGATATTTAAAAATATTACTGTATTTTTGTATGCAAACACAAATAAATAAATGCAGCCTTGGTGAGCAGAAGAGACTTATACAATTATTTTAATTATAATAAACTTCTGACCAGTAGT